AGGCTCCATCTGACATACTTTGGACATGTTGCAAGGAGGGACAGGTCCTTGGAGAGGGACATCATGCTTGGGAGGGTGGAGGGACAGCACAGAAGGGGAAGGCCCCCTATGAGGTGGATTGATTCAGTGGTTGGGGTAATCGGAATAGGTGTGTCGGAGATGGTGCAATTGGCACAGGACAGAGCAGAGTTTAAGGCTGTTGTACATAGGGTCGCTATAAGTCGCAAGCGACTCGATGGCACATAACAACAACAAAGATTGCCAGGTCTTTCTATCAAGGCACTTCTGAAAGGACTTGAACTTCCAGCCTTTGGTGTAGCAGCTGTGGGGCATCCAAGGATTCAACCTCAGGGTCTCTGTGTATGTTGTTGTTGTTGTTAGGTGCTGTCAAGTCATCTGTGACTCATAGTGACCGTAGGAACAACAAATCTGAACCTTGCCTTGTCTTGTGCCATCCTAATCGTCCCTGATATACTTGAGCCTGTTACTGCAGACAGTGTGTCAATCCATCCTGTTAAGCGTCTTCCTCTCCTTCACTGACCCTCTACCTTTCACAGCATGATGACCTTTTCCAAAGACTGGCCCTTCCTAACAACATGCCCAGAGACTGTGACATAAACTCCTCTAAAACCTTTCTCGGCTCCAGATGTAGATGTGTCCAGTCACTAGGACCTAGCCTGTTGACCTCAGTTCACACCCCTGAGTATAGACCAGCCCCTGCAGCCTTCTAGCTCTGAGGTCTGTGGATGGGGGACTGGCCCACCCTGACCTACCAATGTCTTCTTTCTACAGGAACGCTGCCTTCGGAGACCCCTAGTGCTTGTGCCTCACATCCCTGTCCCCCAGGAACAGAGTGCCAGCCTACGGAGAGTGGGGGCTATACCTGTGGGTCCACAGAACTCCAGGGCTGTGCCACCCAGCCATGCCACCATGGCGCTCTTTGTGTGCCCCAGGGTCCAGATCCCAATGGCTTCCGCTGCTACTGTGTCCCGGGCTTCCAGGGTTCATACTGCGAGCTGGACATCAACGAGTGCGCATCCCGGCCCTGCCGCCACGGGGCCACCTGCCACAACCTGGCCGATCACTATGAGTGCCATTGTCTCCTTGGCTACACAGGTAATGGGCCTGCTGCCCCAGGAGGAGCTTTCTCTATGATGCCAGTGCCGTCGGCTTTGTCTGCAGCACAGAGAACTTCAGAAGTTCTGCAGCTCTTGGGTGTGTGCCCTCCAGGTTTGGCTGCTGTGTCTATCTCAGGCTTATGTGGCAGGACTAGTTGAGAACACCAGAATGCTGGCTGGGTGCCTGGCACTTAACAGGCACTTGACAGGTATTGTTTCAGTCACTTCTGCAGAGTTCAGCCTGATGCTGGGACTGGGACATCCCACTGACATCTCTGGCAGGACGAGAGTGTGCATACAGCAAGTTTGTATTTAATGAGGGCACCCCCAGAATCCCCCTGTATTTTTAGCATTTACTCCTCTCTGTGTCAAGTCTGTAATGTAGACACCTTCCAGCTCATCTAATGGTTCTCAGGTCTGAATCCCCCTCCATTTGGTTCTAACTGCAGTGAAGACCTCCTCTCCTCTAGGCATCCCCCAAAGCTCTATCATAGAAACACTCCTAGTCTGTTCAAATTGTAATGTAGGCATAGCCCCAGGGATCTCTGCTGTCTAGAGAACAGAACAGTGCATATGAAAGTGCTCAGAAAAGTGACTGGCACAAATCAACACGGCTCGCTCCAGAGTGCAGGGTTGTGTTCATACATGCTCCAAATACAGCCACCCTGGAGCCACTACCCTCCAGGCCTGAGGTTGAGAAGGTGAGCGTGGCTGCGGACATGGATAGGTGGGAGAATGAGGGCAGGTGTAGGGTAGTTTCTGGTAGTGCAGTCTGTAGGCTGTTGTGCTGCTAACTAAAAAGACTTTGGCTTTCTGCAGGTTCAAATCCACCAGCTGCTCTGAGGGAGAAAGGTGACCATTCCCCCTTTTAAGATTTACGACCTTGGCAACCCACTGGAGGGTCACCATCAGCCAACATTGCCTTGATGGCAGTAAGTTTAAGGTGTTTTTGAGTAGTCTGGAGTCTGCAGGGTATATTCATCCTTGGGTTTCCTTCAAACTCTAAATTTATACAATCCTGAGGGTAGAGGGTTGACTTGATGCCACCCCAGAGCAAGGGCTACAGATTGGGGTGAAGGGCAGAAGGCAGAGTGAAGAGATGGATTTCAGCATGCTGATGAAAGTGAATTTTGGAAGCTGGTTTGTGTTTCCCCTCTCATTATCTGCATGCTCCCGGGTCAGGAGGACAAGTGTGTTTTTGTGAGTGTGGTTCACATTTGTCCTCATGTCTCCTAATAGGAAGGTTTTATGTCTCTGTTGTGTGTCTGTCAGTATCTGCAGGCATCTGTGCTCTGTGACTGTATTTGTACAAAGCATCTGTGTGTACACCCAACAGGAGTGTACACACCTCAGTGTGTGGTGCTCACTGCTTAGGATAGCTCTTCCTGGGTTAGCTGTGGATGTGAGTGGAAGCAAAGTCTGCTGTGACTCATCTCTCTCCTCCCCCTTCCGTTTGGAGCCTGGCGGGGGAGTTTGGGATTCCAGGCAGCCTGGGCCTGGCTCTCCCTGGCACCGATGGTGGGAGGTGGGACTGGGGTGAGAGGAGTGAAGGGTCACAGGCCCTCTGCTTTGTGCTTACTGATCTGGGGAGAGAGAAGAGGGGTGTGTTTCAGTTAGAACCATCTGGGTGTTGACCCCTTGGCTACTCACTTAGGAGGTGACAGGGGCGGGTCCAGGATGAACTCGGATGGTACATTCCCAAGCTCTGATTCTACTGCCTCCATGCAACCCTGGGAGAGTCATTCAACCGTACTATCTTGCCTAGGAGTTAGAGAAAGAAGACATTTAGTTTTAAAACTAAGACAGTGCAGAGAAAATCAGGACAATTTGCCACCATGTCTCAGCATCTCTGGCCAGGGGATACCCTTGCTCCAGGAGGTCCTCCTTTACCCTCTCCTCAAAGCCACTGTGATGACCCTTCTGAAATGTAGGCAGGAGGACTTCACCAAGGTACCTTAAACCTTTGTGATGAGCCTCAAATCCGATACCTGGCTTCCCCTCCACACAGTCCCCTGACCCAGGCAGATCTCCGCAGATGCAACATCTCTTTGGATTAAAACTGCTCTTCATCCTTGAAAGGACTCTTCTTCCAAGAAGCCATTGAAGGTGTATGAGGCTTTTGCTTTTATAGACTTTCTTTCCATTGCTGATCTCTGAACACTAAGATGCCATGTATGTCATCACTGACCTGGGCTAAACACTTGGAGGAGTCCTGGCAACACCCCGGTTAAGTGCTGGCTAACTGCAAGGTCTTCAGTTTGAACTCAGTAGTCCCTCAAGATCTGTAAAGATTCGTAGTTTTGGAAATTCTATGAGGGAGTTCCACTCTGCCTTATAGAGTCAGAATCTACCAGAAGGTAATGGGTTTTGTTTCAGGCTGTTGGGAACTCCAGGAGATAAAACAATTTGTTACAGCAAACTGTACTGCCATGAAACACCTGTTCTGACTAAATGCTCCTTAGTTTCTCCAGTTTGGGGTCTGCCTTTCCTCTAAGTACCCATTTCTGTCCCTTGTCTCTGCCCATGTCCAGGCGTGAACTGTGAGACTGAGGTGGACGAGTGCGCCTCAGCGCCCTGCCTGCATGGGGGGTCGTGCCTGGACGGCGTGGGCTCCTACCGCTGCGTGTGTGCACCAGGCTACGGGGGCGCCAGCTGCCAGCTGGACCTTGATGAGTGCCAGAGCCAGCCGTGCGCACACGGGGGTGTGTGCCATGACCTGGTTAATGGGTGAGAGAGCAGTCGGCTGGGGATCTGCCTGGGACCAGGTGCCGGATGCCCTGAGGCGGAGAAGTGGTGGGCGACCGTGGCAGGAGCCTGGGAAGCTGGAGGGGACGGGTAGAGCACGCTCTCAGGCCCGGCCGTGCGGTCCCGCCCCAGGTTCCGGTGTGACTGCGCGGATACTGGCTACGAGGGCGCCCGCTGCGAGGAGGAGGTGCTGGAGTGCGCGTCTGCTCCCTGTGCGCACAACGCGTCCTGCCTGGAAGGCCTGGGGAGCTTCCGCTGCCTCTGCTGGCCAGGTGTGTACGTGTATGGTCCCCGCTCGGTGGTTGTGGGGACTGCATGAAGCAAGCCTCGGATGATGGAGACAGGTGTGCGTCGGTGCCATATGTGAACGTGACCGTGAGCCAGAGTTTCCATACCTGTAATATAGGGTTAGAGAGCTTTGGTGATTTAGTGGCAAGGGTTTTCCCTGCCAACCCGTAACCATGCAGTTCAAATCCCCCAGCAAGATGGGCAGTCTCCTCCCATGAGATTTACTTGTGCCTCTGAGAACCCCCTATGAGTTGATTCTGAAAACAGCAATGCTCCTAGGCTGTTATAATGCATAATGTGGTAAAGCCAGAAGCACGTGCACTGGTTTGGCACATGCAGACTCAGTGGTAATAGTAATAATGGTAATGCGCTGCTGTTCCTGAAGGCTGCCAGCGGCATTTCTACTCTTTCTCCCCCTCCTGTGCCCCACTGTCACTGCTGGTGATCGGTTTATAAGTTGCCATGGTCCGAGCAGGTCTGGTGGCAGTAATCTGATGCTTGTATGTGTGCACTCCACAGGTTACAGTGGCGATCTTTGTGAGGTGGATGAGGACGAGTGTGCTGCGGGCCCCTGCCACCACGGGGGCCAGTGCCTGCAGCGCTCCGACCCGGCCCTGTACGGGAGTGCCCAGGCCACCTTTCCTGGCAAGTTCAGCTTTCGCCAAGCCGCTGGCTTCCTGTGCCGTTGTCCATCAGGTTTTGAGGGTGAGCCTCCCAAATAGGGAAATAGGCTCCCCACAATTCAGATACACAGAGAGGGATGCTGGGACTGCAAAAGGTATAGGCCTGCCTGAGCCTCACATGAGCGCTTCCAGCTCTGGCCTGGCATGGACTCACAACTGGCACTCTTACAGGGGACGACTGCAGCGTGGATGTGGACGAGTGTGCCTCCAAGCCGTGCATGAATGGAGGCCGATGCCAGAACCTGCCCAATAGCTTCAAGTGCCACTGCCCTGATGGTTATACAGGTACCTGGGCTGGGTGGACACTGAAGCAGTGGCAGGTGCAGGACCTGGGATGAGAAGGTTCCTTCTACCTGAGGAGTGGAGGCTGGATAGGAGGCAGGGAGATCAGAGTGGAGGCTGGATAGGGGGCAGGGAGATCAGAGAGGAGGCAGAGGGGAAGCTTGGTGGAGGTGAGGGAAGCAGAGCTCAGGTTTTGAAGATAAGAAGGTGGAGGCTAACGCGTTTGAGAAATATTTAGGAGTTATTCCATACATGAGTGGGAGGCATCAGGGACAGCGGCTGAGGTCTGCCTTGAATGACTGTTGAGGGGGGTGATAGTGAGCTCAGCATTGCTCCTGCTGAGTCTGAGTGTCAACAGAACAAAGGCAGACACCAGGGTTGTTTAGAGGCTGGTGCCAGGGAGTAGGATCCAGACTGTAGCCAGAAACTGGGATGTCAAGAATGTTATCCTGGTAGTTGAGGCCACAGGAGAGGGTTGTCTGTAGAAGGTGTGGAAAGAAGGGCAAAGAAAACCCCAGATACTGCACATCCAAGAGCAAGGCTGAAGCCAGAGAGGGCTGAAGGTAGGACAGACAATGCAGTCAAGAAGAGAGCAAACAGGGCAGGTGGTGGTGGAGATCTGGGACTCATGCCTGTAGGTAAGTGAGCTCAATTTTTGAGAGCAGGGACCCATTGGGTGGGAGATCAAGAGAACAGAAAGACCCTCTTTGTGTACATGAACACACTCAGATACCACATGGAGACGCTGCACACACACATACATCCACTGCTTGTGCCTCTCTAGAATGCCTGCGACACCTCCCCCACACCACCGCATTCCTGCTGGAGCACACTGCCTCCTCTCCTTGCAGGTTCCCTGGGCAGAGGAGAAGGCGGTGTGGTCATCACCACTGTCCCTCCCCTCCTCGCCTGCTGGGCCTCTGGGTACCCTATTCATAGGTAGAGATGTGACTGCACCGAGGGGCCCTAAAAGTCCATCTTGAAAAAGTCCAGGCCTAGAAGCAGCGGCCACGAGGATGCCTGGCACAGAGTGTTCCCTTCTTGGAAAAGACCCTCTGTTCATTTTCTTGTCTTCTCCATGTCACAGCCTCATAAAGTGGGGTTTAAGGTCCCCATCTTACAGATGAGGAGTTAGAGACTTAGAGGAGTGCTGTTATCTCCCCAGGTTTAGCAGTGTCTGCAGAAGCCCTGTTCTTCTGTAAGGAAAACTTAGTTGCTCGGGGACAGGGAGGGCAGATCACAGGCCTGGAGGGGGACCTCGGCTGTGGGCTGGGCTCCATGCCACTGTCCACACCTCCTCTGTTCGGGCTGTGCTGAGCGTGGGGGAAGTCAGTGCCTGGCATTCCTGAACTGGGTTTGAAGGAGACAGCTTTGCTCCCCAGCCCCGCCACACACCCACCACTCTTGCCCACCTGTGGGAAGTACAATGGGACTGCGGGTTCAGTGGACCCTCCTGGAAGGGCTGTGGCTCCTGGCAGGTATGGAGGACTGCAGCCAATGGCAGAGCCAGGACGGGGCTTGTGGCTGGTGGCTCCCTGTGGTATCTGGGGTGACTACTGAAAGGAACAGGGTTAAGCCTGGGAGGGTCTCAAGTGCAAGTGCTTGGATCTTTGCAGCAGAACCTAGACAAGGGATGCTTTAGAAATAGATCTCTTGCTGCTGGCAGAGGGGAGGGGAGGGGAGTTATTAAGGCAAGTGGGTCAGAGGAGGCTGGACCTTGGTGCAGAGAGCTGGCAGGGTAGGAGATCTGTGGAGTGGCAGAGAAGGGGGACCAGAGGGTGTTGAGGAGGTCTGCAGGGAGTGCCGTTCAAATTTACCAGCTGCTTCACGGGAGAAAGATAGGCAGTCACCTCTTGTAAGATTTACTGCCTCTGAAAACCTACTGGAGGGTCAGCTATGAGTTGGCTCTGACTTAACAGTACATAAAACAACAGGGAATGAAACTAGTCAGATGTGGCAGTGGGAGGGAGCATCTTCAGTTCTGGTCTCTGAGGACTTTAGGGCATTATAAAAAATATTTTGGGTTGTGTTGGGTTGATAAGTGCAGAGTTCTCTGCTCCACGAGACATAAAAATTGTGGGTCCAAATGGTGCTGCTGGCCTGGGTGCTGAGCCTCGGCATGGTCTTTCCCGAAGGCTTGACATGCCAGGAGGAGGTGGACGAATGCCTGTCGGAGCCCTGCCTCCACGGTGGGACCTGCAATGACACTGTGGCAGGCTACATCTGCTGGTGCCCAGAGACCTGGGGTGGGCACGACTGTTCTGTGCAGCTCACCGGCTGCCAGGGCCATACCTGCCCACTATCTGCTACTTGCATTCCCATCTTTGAATCTGGGGTCCACAGTTATGCCTGCCACTGTCCACCTGGTACCCACGGACTCCTCTGTGACCAGAACACCACTTTCTCGGTGGCTGCTGGGAGCCCTGTTCAGACGTCAGTGCTGGTTGGCAGCCCACTGGGTCTGGCACTGCGTTTTCGCACCACGCTGCCCAATGGTACCTTGGCCACACGCACTGACACTCAGGACAGCTTGGAGCTGACACTGCTGGGGTCTACGCTTCAGGCCACATTCAAGAGGCAGAGTGCCACTGTGCTCATCCTGACGCTACCAGACCTAGCCCTAAATGATGGCCACTGGCACCGGGTAGAAGTGACCCTCCACCTCGGGACCCTGGACCTTCGGCTGTGGCATGAGGGCTGCCCTGCACGGCTCTGCATGGCCTCTGGTCCTGTGGACCTGGCTCCATCGTCTTCAATGGCCCCGTCACCTGCTGGGCTTTGCTTCCTCCAGCTGGGTGGTGCAGGCTTTGCAGGCTGCCTCCAAGATGTGCGTGTGGACGAGCACCTCCTGCTGCCTGAAGAGCTTGGGGAGAGTGTCCTCCTGGGCTGTGAGCGCCATGAGCAGTGCCAACCTCTTCCTTGCGCCCATGGAGGGGCCTGTGTGGACCTATGGACTGACTTCCGCTGTGACTGTTCCCGACCTTACAGTGGCCCCCAGTGTACTGATGGTGAGGAGAAAGCCAGGTGGGAAGGGGCATCTGGAATCTGGGGCCCAGAACACAAACTCCAACTTCCCCCCATGACCACAGGCCTCACCCCCAGTTCCCCTCTCTTCCTGCAGAAGTTCCTGCTGCCACCTTTGGTTTGGGGGGCACCCCAAGCTCAGCCTCCTTCCTGCTCCACGAGTTGCCAGGCCCCAGCCTCACAGTATCCTTTCTCCTCCGCACTCGGGAGTCCGCTGGGCTGCTGCTCCAGTTTGCCAATGACTCGGAAGCCGGCTTGTCAGTGTTCCTGAGTGAGGGCCAGATTAGGGCGGAGGCACTGGGTAGTCCCATCCTGGAGCTACCTGGACGCTGGGATGATGGGCTTCGCCACCTGGTAACGCTCAGCTTCGGGTCTGACCAGCTGCAGGGCCTGGGACCACGGCTGCATGTGGGCAGCGGGCCCCTCACTGCTGCGTCTCAGCCCTTCCGTGGTTGCCTCCAGGACCTGCAACTCAACGGCTTCCACCTCCCCTTCTTCTCACTACCACTGGAGAACTCAAGCAAGCCCAGCCCATTGAGCAGCAGGCAGACCTGGAACCTCACTGTGGGCTGTGTCTCAGAGGATACATGCAGCGTGAGTACCTGGGGCAGAGGAGATAGAATAAGGCCCCCCCACCCCCCAACCTACAGCACATCACTAAGGGCTAGCATGCTCTTACTTGTAAGGAAACCGAGGCTCAGGTCAGATGACCTGCCCCAAGTCTGTGTTAAATAGCTGCAGGACAGGATTTGCATCTGTCACCTCTCCTGCTCACCAATCTTACTCCTTACTGGTAGTCCCCATAACCCAGTTCCTAGACTGGATGTCTGTGGGAACGTGAATGAGTTCATGAACAAAGTATCAGTGCTGGATTGGAGCTGTCTGGAAGTAACTAGTCCTGTTTACTGGCTGGGTCACTCAGGCGAATAGCATCTCCCCTCTGAACTTGTCTTCTGTAAAATGGGAATGATAGGGATTTCCTCCCCACGTAGCCCACAGGGAGTTATGCTGCTAACTCAAAGGCCTCTCTGCTAGTTCAACTCCACCAACCACTCTGTGGGAGAGAGGTGGGTGGTCTCCTCCTGTTGGATTTATAACCTCCAAAAACCCACTGGAAGGGCAGCTATGGGTCAATTCCGACTTGCCAGCGAGGAAGGGTTTCTGTTGTTTGTAAAGAAGTAATGTCAGTAGCAGGTGCTCATTGCAGGAGTTCAGTGAGGCGTCACTGCTGTTGGTGCTGACAATGGGGCGGTGGCAGCCTCAGGGCTGAGCTGACCGCTGCCCTGCTTCTCCCACAGCCCAATCCCTGTCTCAATGGTGGGACATGCCTTGTCACCTGGAATGACTTCCATTGCACCTGCCCTGCTAACTTCACAGGGCCCACGTGTGCCCAGCAACTGTGGTGCCCTGGTCAGCCATGCCTCCCACCTGCCATGTGTGAGGAGGTCCCTGATGGCTTCGTCTGTGAGTATGTGCCTTGGGTACCTGTGCTCAATTAGATTTTGTCATTGGGGCTCATGGACTGGGACAACAGTAGTCTCAGCCCAGTGTGGCTGGGCCACTGCACCCACAGAAACAGAGGATTCCTGGAGAAAGTGGGTGTATGATGGGCCTCCAAGGGCAAAACAGACTACCAGGGAGCTCTGGTGGTCTAGTGTTAAGAAGCTTCTCTGCAATCCCAAAGGCATGTAATCCACCAGCTGCTCTTTGGGAGAAGGGTGGGCAGTCTCCTCCACTACGATATACTGCCTCTGACAACTTGCTGGAGGTCAGCTATGTGTCAGTTCTTACTTGATGGCACACAACCACCACCACCACCACAACAGAAAGACCACTGGGGCATAGAAGAAGAAACTGTGTATGCAAAGGCTCTTAGGGCTGTCAGAAAAGCTGAAATGCAGGCTCAGAGTTCTAAGCAGAAGAACATAATCAGATCTGCATTTTTTAAAAGGCATCTTCTAGTGAGTGCCTGCAGGGTGAGATAGGAGATTGGGGGAGGAATGTGAGGGCAGATTTTGCACTGGTTGTCTTGGCTGTGTCTTGGGAGAACAGGATAGAGTGCTGGAGTCCCCAGCACTGGCCAAGAGCTGGTTCTCTGGAAGTAGATAATGCAAGGAAATATGGAAGGAGGATAGTGGGGCAGCTGCGGTGAGAAGAGGCTGCCTCCCACATGTGAGGTTGGCCTGGACAGTAAGGGCAATGGGTGGAATCATCTTCATGCCTGGGGCGCAGGCTTCTCTGACAAGGGAAGGGCACAGCTTCATCTCCAGGAGACTCATCTCCCAAAGTCTCTCTCCGCAGGTGTGGCAGAGACTACGTACCTCGAGGGTCCCCCAGTGGAGTTCAGTGGACACAACGTGTCAGCAGCACACACTCTGGGTGACCTCTCACTGGCCTTCCGGACCCGTGACCTTGAAGCGAGGCTGCTGAGCGCTATGGTGGGCGCCCACGCCGTGTGGCTGGCTGTGCACAATGGCTCGCTGGCTGCCGGCGTGCACAGCGGCCATGGCCTGCTTGGCGCCCTGCTGTCTCCGCCAGGGCCACACGTGGCAGACGGCACCTGGCACCGCGTGGACCTGACCATGGAGCAGCCGCCGGCGGCGGCCGCATCACGCTGGCTTCTGCGGCTGGATGGCGCAGCGACACCCATGGCGCTGAGCGGACTGGCCAGAGACCTAGACTTCCTGCGAGGCCCAGACGCCGTGCGCGTCCTCCTGGCGGAGAACTTCACCGGCTGCCTGGGCCGCGTGGCTCTCGGAGGTCTCCCGCTGCCCCTAGCGCGCCCGAAGTTCGACGTGACGCCCGGGCCCCGGGAGCGCTTCGCGGCTTGGCCAGGGGCACCGGCCCCGCGCCTAGGCTGCCGCGGCGCGTCCGTTTGCGCCCCCACGCCCTGCCTGCACGGCGGCGCCTGCCGCGACCTCTTCGACGCCTTTGCCTGTGCCTGCGGCCCCGGCTGGGAAGGCCCGCGCTGCGAGGCTCGTGTTGACCCGTGCCGCTCAGCGCCCTGCGCCCGGGGCCGCTGCCACGCGCGCCCTGACGGCCACTTCGAGTGCCGCTGCACCCCCGGCTTTACGGGCCCGCGCTGCAGGTGCGAGCACACAGGCTGGTTGGGGAGACTTCAGGAGCAGTTTCTTCCACCGTGCCAGAGTGGGGTTGGGAGCTGAGAGGCGGAGCTAGAGAGGGGAAGGGCCTAGGGGCTACGCTGGGGCTAGGAAGGCTTTTGTGGGCTAGTCTCTTTCGCCGGCTGGTCTTCAGTGTCTTCATCTGTAAAATGGGTACAGTTATGAAACCCAGACTCCTAAAACATAGGACTCCCAGCTCAATTTTAATACCAGGTTAATGCTGTTGTTGAAAGCACTCGAGACTAACCTTGGTAGAAAACCTGGAGGCTTTCACGCCCCTTATTCCTCCCTGCTGGACAGAGGACATTGCCCGCCAGCTCTCCCCTTCCTTCAGAGCAGGCCTGTGGGGGGTTATTATTTAGCAGAAATTGACTTCCTGCCCCCACCCCGTCAATTCTGTCCGTTCACTCACGAAATACTAGGTTCACGCTCTATGTTTAGGTCTACACTTCAATTCAGAGATGATTTCTGCTATTTTATTAGCTTTTCAAAGGAATTGGAGACGAGAAGACCCATAGCCCCAGCTTGGAGGCTGCACATCCTGTTGTGAGTGAAGCTGCAGTTAGCAGGGTTGCTGCCTGACCTCTGAGAATTGCCTTCAAAGTCCTCTGAATGTCACTAATGAGAGTGTGAGGCTCCCAAGGACCTACCTTGAGTCCAGCCACGTTTCTGTCTCCTCAGGGTGCCCATCCCGCTGGAGGAATGCAGCCTGAACTTCACTTGCCTTAATGGTGGACAGTGCGAGGTGGGACCTTGGGGTGCCAACTGCAGCTGCCAGGAGGGCTTTGCCGGCCGCAGGTGGGTTTGAGGGTTAAGGGACTACGAGGTGGGCTGGTTAGAATGGAATGGGCAGGGCTGGCCCCTGGACCCCCTAGGACTGGAGCAGAGGAAGTTGGGTATGGTCAGATCCTTGATGTCTGCTCGCTTCCTTCCCTGGCATCACAGTACCAGTCAGTCCACCACTGTTAGCACTTGAGAGCTTTGTTATGAAGATTCGCACTGGAGAGTAGTTGCCCCAGCTGTGAGATGCCCCAGAATCCTTTACCTGCCTGTATCAGGACCACCTGGGGAGACAGTGACATTTTAGATTTTCAGCCATGTGGATGGAACCCACTGCTATGGGAATTTCTTTACGGAGACTCCCAGTGATCTGATGGGTAAGAACCACTCTCAGCCATGCTGGGGTGAAGCAGGGGTTGGTAGGCCATGTTGATAACATTCTGATTTGGTCACCTGGGAGAGCCCAGGCAGATAGGGAGAAGGCATGGGGACAGGAGGGTTGGTGAGCTAGAAGAGCTGCTGGGAACAGGAAGCAGCTGTTGGAGGGAGCGGTTTTCTGAGCTCTGTCCCACCCACTTCCTCCCCAGGTGTCAGATCCCGCCCCTTCCCTGTGAAGTTAGCCCTTGTTTGAATGGGGGCACATGCCGGGCAGCTGGTGGAGTGTATGAATGTATCTGCAGTGCCACCTTCTCGGGCCGGTTCTGTGAAGTGGTGGTGAGTGGTTCCAGAGGGGCTGCAGGTGAAGGGGCCTTTTCTCACCTTTAGAAAATGAAAGTTGGGGGGGGGTAGGGGAATATGGCACCTGCTCTTGGACCAACTTTGTGGGTCACGAGTGCTGAAAAAGGAGGCTCAGTCCCTTTCCATGCCCCTCAAAATGTATTTTCTACTCTAAGGAGAGCTCCAGGGGCCCCCACCATTCCCCCACCAGGGCATTATGCTCCAAGGAGGCCCCCTCACAATGCCCAGGAGGAGGGGGTGCAGTGGGGCAGGGGAGCTCTGCTAACTCCCATTTGGGGTTAGGATTCAGGTCCATCAGATCCTAGAGTTTTAGCATTTTGGCTGGTGAGTCCAGGAGCCCATAACCTCCGGGGGTTTCTAAGCCAGGATTCTGGAGTAGAAATGTTCAGGGAATACAGTATTCTGAGCTGAGGCTGGCTTCTGAACCAGCAGGTCCTTGATCTGGTGAACCCCTTGCCACCCCCTTCTAAGGGGTTGCAGACCTGCAGGTCCAGTGGGCAGTGAGCCTGCAGTGGGTGCAGGTGGAGGAGGGGTGGCAGGAAGGGAAGACGAGGAGCCTTGATCTCTGTGGGCTGCTGGCAGCCCGGGTCATAAACTGGCAAATCCCTGTGCTTCTGGGAAATGTTTCCTTTCAAGTTGAAATTTTTACAACCCCTGGTTCCCCTAGCCACCTTCTTCTGGCAGGGGAAGAAAAGGCTTTGCAGCTCCCCAGAGGCACCCATGGGTGGAGCAGGTGAGGGCCCACATCTCAGTGAGGGTTGGGACAACCTTTTCTCTATAGTCTTAGGACCCCTTCCTGGGAGCTGGGAGCAGAGGCGTGGGCGCCCAGGTGACTGTGACCCAGCGCGGGCCATTGCGTTTAACACCCTGGGATTCCAGGACTTCAGAACTCCAGCCATGTAGCACTTTAGAAAAGGAGCCCTGATAGTCCACAAAGTATTTGGCTGCTAAGTGAAAGGTTGGTGGTTTGAACCCAGCCAGCTCCCTGTTAACCCCAGAAAAGTCAGGCAGCCTGCTTTTGTAAGGATCACGGCCAGGAATACAAGAAGATGCTAGGAGACAGTTCTGTTCTGTCGTGTGGGGTTACTAGAGCACCCAGCCAAAACAAGAGCAGCACTTTGGTGGGGCATCCTAGGGGGTTGTGATTGAAGATGGGGGTGGTAGATGGGGAGATCTGCTGCCTCCTCCCCAATGCCTGGGTTGAGTCTCCCCAGGACACACCCCGGTAACAGGCAAGACTGTTGGAGTAGAGCAGCTCCCTCAGGAGACGGGCCCATGTGGATCCCAGCCTGACAGGCCTCAGCCTATCCTTGCCCAGCCCAGACTTCCAGTGCTGTCTGAAATGGCTCTTTCTCCTGTCAGGTGTGTGTGTATGTGCATGTGTTAAGCATGGTCCCCACAGGCACTTTTTTAAAAAAAGTATTATTTTATTATTATTTTTGTGTGTACTGTCAAATCAGATCTGACTGGTACAGGAGGAGATTGCCCCTCTTTCTCCAGCAGAGTATCTGGTGGATTTGAACTGCGCACCTCTGGGATTGCAATGCAGCTTCCTGCCACTAGGCCACCAGAACTCCCTTCACAGACACTTTTATAAATTAGACCATTCTTTGGGACAAAGATCTCGGATTGGACAAGTTTATTATGGGGAGGAAGAGGTTGCGGGAGGGGGGCCTCGGGAGTCAGAGGCTGTAGGGTGACAGCCTGGGCATTAACTGAGAGGAGGGTTCAAGTCAGGGTTTGCCAACAGTCATTTGCTTGGGGCCATCTGGGCAAAACCTGTTTACTCACTTACTGTTTATCGAGTGTCTGCTATGCGAGGGGGATACCAGGGAACAGAGGGAAAGAATCTGCCCCACGGAGCTTACTTCTACTTCACTGGGCTCTCAGGAGGTGGATGTGCTTTGCTTGGACTCATTTCCTGTTTGTGTTCAACAAGGTTTTCTGACCTAGCTGCAGCTCTTGGCAGGTGTCCCTCTCCTCCAGAACCTGCTTGCATATCCCTGGGGCCAAGTCCCTCCCTCCCTCCTGGGATCCAGTTCCCAGTTCTGACTTCCTTAGAACGTCCTTTATGTGGTCATTTCTTAGCCCCTGAAAGCCCAAGAGTGTTCTCTCCTCAGCAGCCTCAGGCCTCACTGTTGTGTCTCTTGCAGAAGGGCCTCTCTCTGCCGCAGACGTTCCCACTGCTGGAGGTGGCAGTGCCCGCAGCCTGTGCCTGCCTCCTCCTCCTCCTCCTGGGCCTCCTCTCAGGGATCCTGGTGGCCAAAAAGCGCCGCCAGTCGGAGGGCACCTACAGCCCGAGCCAGCAAGAGGTGGCTGGGGCCCGGATGGAGATGGACAGTGTCCTCAAGGTGCCGCCAGAGGAGAGACTCATCTAGGTCTGGCTTGGCTGCTGGCTCCAGTGTCCGTGAGGCCCTCAGCTGGCAACTTCTACCTGGAGACCCAGGAAACCTGCAGGAAAGCGGCCCTGGACACCTGCGGGGGGCGTGTCCACTTTGCTGGCAGCCCCTGTCTCTGCTCCACGATGGACTGAGAAAATGGGGAGCAACTCAGGGAGGCAGATTGGGGCCTGTGCATGTCTATCTGAACCCCCTGGTTTTGGCCATGGCAGGTGTATGACTGCATGGGAGGGGTGTTTGTGGTGTGCATGTTCTGTGCCCATTGTATGTGTGAGCCTTGGCTGGGTGTGTGAGAACACCTGGGATGGAGCAGAGTGTCTTCGAGGGTGGGGCCTGCAGATACTTGCGTATCTGTTCTTGGGCGGGGCTTGTGGGCATGTCCACATGGTGCATGTGCGTGTGAGTGTTGTGTGAGACTGTGTATCAGCACAGGCAATCCCGGGGGAGGGGGTAGTGGCTGAACCTTGGGGAACCCCTTCACAATTAGCAGTTGGGAGCTGCCCTAAGCTGGACATTGTGCAGGAGGCCAGGCCAGGGTGTGGGCAGCCATGAAGCCTCCAGATCCTGCATCTTCTCCCATTTCCAGATGCTGGCTCTCCCTGGACACTGAAGTCCGCGAAAAGCTATAATGGAGGGCTGTGGGAGCTCCTGGTGCTCAGTTTTGCCTGCACTTGAGCCAGACATGCATGGGATCCACAGGCTCTACCTTGACTTACATTTGCTCACAGCTGACTTACAGGAATCATGGGGACAAGTCTGGGCTCTGTGCCTTCTCCCTCTTCTGAGCCTCAGTTTGCCATCTGTAGAATGGGAGAAGCAGCCCCTGCCTACCTCACAGGGCTGTTGTGAGGGTCAGAAAGGATGACATTGGGAAAGAACTTGGAAATTTAACACTGGCCTGCTGGAAAGGACTGTCTGGGAGGTTCTTTAGATATCGTCTCCAAGGGTTCTGTCAGCACCCTGCAGATATAGAAATGAAAGCTGAGGGGGACCCTGCTGGGGTGCAGCAAAGAGGGGAACAAAGATAGGGGAGCAGCTTTTGGCTCTTCCGGGAGGAGGCTGTGCCCCCCACCCCCTGGTTGTTCCTACCTCCTCATGCTCTCCAGGCAGCTTGGTGAGGTCACACCTTTGTCTGCATTCCAGAAGCTCTTGTGTGGATGTTAAGGGGTGATTCACAGACAGGACTATGAGGAAACCCCCAGGATTGCTGGATGAGTGCTGCAGACTGGTGTTACCTCTTGATGTCAGGGCTCTTGCTGCTTGCAATTCCAGGCTCTGGTGACCTCCAGCTATCGTACACTGATCCCAGCAGAGCTCCCAGGTGAGGGCCTCCCTGCCTCCAAGGAGCATGCTGACAGCCTCAACGCTGACTAGAACTGCGCCAGGAGACATTTCCACATGCTTAACTTGGAGGGTGACCATGTAGCCCCCTAGAGCGTTCAGGCAGCAAGCAGCCAGGAGACACACCAGTCAAATTAAAGTCAGACTCTTGTGATAACTGGGGAGGGTGAAGGGGGAGAAGCAGCACCAACAGGATCAGGAAAACCTCAGAACAATTGGTTAAGACGCTGGTCCTTATCCTGTAGAAGGCAGGATGACTGGCCCTTAACTTTTCGCATGGCCCTGGGGAAGGTGGAAGCATCTGGCATTAACATCTTAGACACAGCCAAGCCACTTAATAGGTTGTTTATTTAAGTCAAGGATTTGGCAAGTCTGTGTCAGTTGTGGGCTCCTGAGAAAAGGCATTTTATGTGGGACCTTAACAGATAAAGAGAAAAGCCAGGCTGCCCCACTCTGAGGCGGCCTGCATCCTCTTCCCCGGTTCCTGGTTCCTGGGCTGCTGCCACTTTTGAGAGGTGCAGTCCAGAGAGGGAGGAGGGCCCAGTGACAGTCAGATATGGACAAGGAGAGGTGTGTTTGATGTTCATCTGAGTGGTCGGCTCCTAGTGCTCCTTCAAACACAAACTCTCCAGTAGGGCAGAGTCTGGGGCTCTGCTCATGCTAAGGTCAGATCTTGGGAGGCAAATGCAGACTGAATTTGCTCTTTACTGGAACCTGGGCATGCTCAGGCCTTCTGTACTGCTGAAGTACCACCTGTGGCCCATGGCCCTGCTGAGGAGCCCCATCAGGCCTGAGCTCACCTGTGACCAGACTTCTTGATGTTCCTGACAGCCACTCACCTGACTAGTTCCAGCCCTGTGTCCTCCTTGTGCGGAACGGGGAAGGAGCCCAGCTCAGAGCCCCGAGTGGAAATGGGCTGTGCAATCAGCCAGGGTTCATGTCCTTTCCTAACTTCCTTGTACCATGTCCTCCACCTCTCCAGAACTGGATAGTTCTGGCCGTTGAGGCCTCCTCTCCTGGGCCTCCCCTCCTTCCACTTCTTCCTCAGGGACACAGGGAAAGCAGCCTTCTCCCCAAGATTTTATTGAATGCACACACAAAAGTCATTCTTGGGTCTGCAAAATCCACCCAGCAAGTGAAAAGACAATAGTGCTCAAGTAGATGTTGAGTCTGCACCCCCAGCTCAGCTGGGGTTACCTCAGGGTGGGCTCCCTAGTGCCACCCAGTATCCCTCAGCTTGGGCCCACCAATGAGCTGCACCAAATGGATGGGTGGAATGACTCCCATAGCAGCCAGAGGACACTCTTGACAATTTGAGAGAAAATCTGCCCAAAGGGTCATGATTTATTAGGGAAGGGGCTGTGCGCTGGGCCAGCAGCTCCTCAAAGCTCATGCCAGAGCCAACCTCAGGGCCAGCTCTTCCATCCTCACAGAGCCTAGGAAGCAGCCATGACCCCAGACTTGCACACACCAATGGTGCTCCCTAGAGAGATGGGGCTCCACGTACCCCCCTGGGCCCCACCAGACACCCCTGGGTAGACTGTGTCTGACCATCCACTAACAGGAAATGAGAAATCAGGTCAAAACGCTCACAATTTCCTGCATGTCTCAGAGGCTTGTTTTCATAAAAGGTTGAACCATATTTTAACTTGGTTCATGGAAATCAGTCCATTTCAAGATTCATCAATTCAATAAGGTAGAAAAGAGAAAGGAAAAGAAAGGAAACAATAACAAATATTTCAATTTAACTTTGGTGATGTTGGCCTCTGGAATTTCTGTGCTGGCGAAGACTGAGGCAGTGGGGAGGCTGGGTTCTGGCCTGCCTTCTACCTCCAGGCTCCTTCCTGTCCCCTCCTCGTGGACCTGGAGAGGGCACTCAGTGCTACTGCTCCTGTCTGACCGAGGGAGCACCAACTGTGTCCCCATCAATCAATGGCATCACTTGTGACCATAGTGCTCCTCTCACTGAATCCCAAGTGACTCAAGCCTCCTGGCCCAGGCCGACTGGAACCTGAGAACCAGGACACACAGGTGTCTAAGGGCCAGAGATCTGGATGGGGGCTGGGCCTGCCTCCCGATACACTCAGATTTATTGGTTTGTATTTTTCTTCCTAAAAATCAGAGTTGCTGGTGCTCCCCAGACCTTCTGCAGGGCTGATGGACTTTGGCCCTCACCAGGGACTCAGAGGATCCCTCAGCCCCCAAATCCCTTCTATGCTAAAAACAACTCAATTTTAGGGTTGGGTAAACCCTCATGAAAGAATGAGTGTATATTGCTATAGGGGATTTGGAAATATCCCACCAGGAATACTGGTGGGGGCTGAAGGCATCCTTTAAATTCTTGATTGTGGTGCCCGCCAAGGGTAACACTGACATCTGTGCCCATCACGGAGGCCTGCTGGACCAGGCCACAGATGACACAGGAGGAGGGCAGGAAGAGAGACCTTGAGGAGACTCGTGGTTCCTTATGAAGGTTTCTTTCCAGAGGGAAGATAGGTAGGATCTGGGTGAAGGCATCATTGGCCCAGCTGACCATCTGGATGCTGAAGAGGGGAAGGAGTGGGTGGAATGGACAGGCAGGAGCTGAGACAATTCCCAGGTCGCAGCTGGCACCGCCCTCCTATGGCCATACCTCAGAGATGGGCAGTGTGGACAGGCAGGAGGGAAGGTGGTGAGGACTCCCATTCCTTCCCATCAGCAGAAACTGGGCAGAAACGGGAGGAGACAGGATAAGGTAGGTGGCTAACATTGGGCATCATGATGACAATCCCAGGGCTCACTCAAATGTCTCCCACTGCTTCCGGAGCTGCTCCACCGAGCCCGGGGCAGGGGCTGGGCTCACGTCTTGCTTGGTTTTCTGTAACAAATCCTCAAAGGGGTCTCTGGCCTCCTGAGGAGCAGAGGGCTGCAGCGGTGGCTCCAGGCTCTGGGGGGGCTGAGGAGGAAGGAGTGGGGGGTCTCCAGGCCTCAGGACCAGCCCCTGCTTGGCCTCAGCGGCCCTGGCACTTGAGCGGGCCAGGGGTAATGTTCGGATCCTTGAAGGGGCAACTGCTGGGGGGCCCAGCGGCTGTAGGGGGCTGGTGTGGGTGCCCATGGGCATTTGGCCAAAGAGATTGGGCATGGAGAGGGCAGATAGGCTGGGCTGAGATCTATGTGGCACACAGAAGCCAGAATTTGCCAGCAGGAGGTTGGGGGCAAAAGGTGGCCCCAGGGAGGCAGCAGGGGCCCCAAAAGGCCCAGTGGGTGTGGAGACCAGGGGCATGGTGGGCAGTGGGGCTGGCACAGATGGGACAAAGGGGTTGAGTGACGGCTGTGGGAATGGGCTAGGGGTCCCTGTGGTAGGGAAACTGAACTGTGGGGTGAAAGGGGTGGCTACGTTTGGGGTGGGAGGGCCTGGTGCGAGGGTGCTGCCTGGCCAGGCAGTGTGAAGTGGATCCAGGAGGGCTAGCAGGGCATCGCTGCTTGTGCCAGTGGACCCCTGGGTCAGGCTGAGCGGCTGGAGCAGTTCAGGGGTGCCTTGGGGGGCAGTGCTGGGGAGATGCCCTGAGAATGGGGCAGGGCTCTGGGTAGCTCGTCTTTCCCGCTCAGTCTGCAGCCGCTCTGAGAAGTCGCCAAGAGCAGTGCCAGCAGCCTGCAGCTTGGCTGGGCGGCCGGCCGGTGGCGGCGGCACGATGCCCAGCTCTGGGGTCTTCCTGCCCTGGGGCCGGGGGATGGTGATACTGCCCGGAGCAGGGGTGAGCAACTCCTCCTTGTTGCTAGCGTTGAAGACGCTTTCCTGGTTCTGAGGCCTGCTGCACAGTGCAGGGGAGTTCCCGAGCCAGGGTGAGGGCTTCTCGGGGGAGGTAGCAGGGGGCTTGCTCGGGATGGCCATGTCATCCTGGCCCAGGCTCCAGAGCTTGTTGTACGGGTGGGCAAGCTTCAAGGTCACTGGCATGCCTCGACTTCTCTCACTCCCGCCCAGGTCCAGCCTCTGTTTGGAGAGAGTATGGGAAACAGTGACCACGTGCTGCCCTGGACCAGGTAGTCTGTGCCCATTCCCACATTGCTCCTGTGTGCCAGGCGGGCGGCGGGCACCGGGATAGGTGGAGGGGTAGTTTTCTAGCAGACAGGGAGCTGGGGCTCAGAACTGTGTCCCTCCCGGGTCACTCATCAGATGAGCCAGTTTTGCTGGACTCTTAGTCCAGGCTTTTCTCACTATTTGGCACAAAAGGATTCCAGAGAAACTGCCAATCATGTCATGCCTATGGCTGCCAAGTAATTTTAGGAAAGTGTTTCCATCTATTGACCTGGCCAGTTTTCCTTTTCCAAGTGTGTGGCATCCTGGATGGCCTGTAGGCCTCAGAGGGTAAGACTGACGGAGGAAACAGGAAGATTAAGTTCAAGTGTCTGCTCTGCCATTTACAAGCTGTGTGACCTCAGGCCAGTCACTCCCCATTGCTATGGCCTGAGTTTCCTCACAAGCCAAATGGGAACAGTAGTAGACGACTCCTGAAGGAGAACAGATGAACGTAAGCAGCTCTGACTTGGAAGTAAGGAACCCAAGGACGGAGCAAGGGAGGTGACTGATTAAAATTTTACTGGCATCATGCAGGACCCCAATTCCCAGGATCCTTAGTGGGGAGTGACATTCCAGTTCTGCCAGGGACAAAGCTCCTCGCTGGGTAGGTTCTGGAATCTCCAGAACAGGTTCTGGAATCTCCAGCGGCCACTGCCTGTTTGTCGAGCTGACCGGCAGGATTAGTCAGTCAGATCTTGCCCATTGTCTGAGGACTTGGCAAAGATGCTATTTGCCCTGGGGTGTCTTCCACTGGCAGATATGGGGAAGTGGGATGTGGGTAGCTTACACACACCTGGTAATCAAAGGTCCCTGGCTGCTCCTGCAGGTCTTGAGGCATCCGAAGGTCCTCCAAGCTCTTGGCCTGGCCCAGAGGCTGCAGCGGGGCCTCCATGTCTAGACTGTTGAAGATGTCTTCTAGGAGGTCGATGCTGGCAGCCCGGTCAGGCAGAGCTGGGGCAGGGCCCGTGGGCTCCCGCATCCGCTGCTCTGGACTCTCTGCCTCATCACCTGCACTGTCTGACTCCTTGAGCGTCCGGTATGGCTGTGGCCTGGGAGGAGACAAAGCAGGTTGGAGTCTCTGCCCGAGAGCTTCCATGCAAGGAATAAGCAGTCCCAGGACCCCACAAAAAAGTCCCTTTTTGAGGCCCATACCCTAAAGTGTGTCCTGGGCCCCATCATGTACCAATCTGGGTTTTAAGGAAATAAGCTTTGCACTTGGACAGGCTGGAATCTCAGTTGGTGTTCTGCCACCCATTGTGGGACCCTGAGTGAGATGCTCTGGCTCTCACGTGCAAGGAGGGAGCCTGTGGCTGTTGGATGCCACAGAATCAGTTACAACTCAAGGTGACTCAACAGGTCAGCATGCAACTGCCCCTTAGGGTTTCTTAGTTTGTAATATTTGCTTGAGATTTCTAGGTCTCTTCTCTAGTGTGGGTATTGGTGGATTTGAACCACTGATCTTTCAGTTAGCAACTCCACTTGGAGCAGTGCCCCTAGAAGGGGCTTGCGGTGCCCTTCAGACAAGGCACTCACAAGGAGAGACAACCGGGAGGGGAATGCACAGACAGACACATTCCTGAGGCCACTATCTGCACTCCCACCCGGCCCCGCCCTCTGCAGTCAGGTCCTGTGAATGACTCATGGAGAATGGGGGTGCTCTTCATTGGGGGGGCAGCCTGGCAAGTCCTTGGATCCTCAGAGGGGGTGGTCTAGGATCTACCACTGCTTGCTGAGAGACTTTGGGCAAGTCTCTCAGCCTCTCTGAGCCTCAATAACAAGAACAGATGCAGTGCCAGGTGCACAGCGGGCATGCAAATGCTGCTCTCAGCACTAACAACTCACCAGTAAGCTCAACTATCACACGGGCTGACCCTGCTTGAGGAGCTTCAAAACTGTACCAGCCAGACCCACATGTTGGCAACAGCTCCTCCTGTTTTTCCTTTCTCATGGGGCATCAGAGGTGTGTGGGGACACCGTGGCCTTTGGGGGAACCACCAGCCGGAGCAGCATCTCCGCTCTAAGGGAGGAAGCTGGGGCTTCCCGCGGCCCCAGGCTCAGGCCGGCCGGTAGAGTGGAGAAAGTGCGCCACCTGCTGGTTCTGTGGAGGCCCGTGCTGAAGGCCCACTCGCAATGGAGCGGAAGGAGCGCGGCTCAGCGCAGTCCCCACTTCATCAGTCGGACCCGCCCGCGAGAGAGGGCCCACACCCCACTCTGTGGACAACACTGGAGCCCAGAGAGGCTAAACAGCTCACCCCTTGTCACACATGTGGCTAAAGGCAGAAACGGAAGCCAAGTCTGAGAGACTCCAAAATCTCAGACCAAGACTATCTAACCATTGTCACGGAGCTGATTCTGACTCACAGCAACCCTGTAGGTCAGAGTAGAACTGAAGAGCCTTTAATTAAATATAAGTACAATGCAGGGTATAAGAAGAGGCAGTGGGTTTCTTAAGGTTAACGGAGTGTTCTTTTTCACTGCCTGTTTTAAGATGGGCTGGTTCCTTTCTAAACACATGGAGGCCTGAGGTCATGGGGTAAAGAAGTGAGCATTATCCACTGTTTAAAAAATTAATAATTTAAAAAAGAGTATGATGGAGCTAAACCTTGCACTTGATCTTCTAGCCTCAAGAGGTGAGGGAGTCCTCAGATGTCACCCAAGCCACAGACCTTTATCTGCAAGGTGATTTTAAATTGGTGATCAAGTCTATTTAAATGGCTCTATATTTTAATTAGTAACAGAAATAATGACTAATACATTAAATCTTCGCCATCACAGATACTATTGCTTAGGGCAAAGCTAATATTTAAGGCATTTTAAAGAGACATTAAACATAAGAGAAGAAGATTCAGTTACAAACTGGAAGGATGACATGAACCTGGAGAGATGTGGGGAGCCTCCCACTTTGTAGATGAGGCCTCAGGAGGGGAGCGACAGGTGAATTGATGGCACTAGAGACCAGGCATCTAATCCTGGGCCCTATTGTCCTTTGGAGGCATGAGAAAGAACGGTTTGGGGTTTATAAGGCATCCAAAGGAATCTTGAGCTCACCAGTCTAGGAAAAGGGGTCATGATCTCAGGTGAAGCCTGACACTGGGGCTTCCACTAGAGTCTGGGAACAAGAAGATGGTGCCTCAAATCCAAAACCACCGCCACTGGGTCGGAAGCCATTCATAGCTGACCCTCCAGCAGTTTCCAAGGCTGTGAACTGGCCAGATAGTCCATTTTTCTCCCAGTGGGCCACTGATAGATTAATAATCCACTCCTCAGAGGGTTCCTAGGGCTTCGTGCCCTTTTCCTCACAGGCCAAGGTGAAAAATGCTTACATTACCTTGTTAAACAAAAAAGGCAACAGCTGTTTCTATGCTCGATCCTAGCACTGAAAAACAAGTAGGTAGAGGGTGAAGAACTAGCAAAGAAAGGATACAAAAGCTTAATTTTGGGAGGTGGTTGGATTTTTTTTATGTGTGTATGAAATATTTTTCTTTTTTTAAAAAAATGCTCCTAGTAATTATTATGTGGTTTGGGCTATAAATAATTATGGTAAAACTTATCTCTAAAAAGCCAAATAGATCCGTAAAACACTGGGGTATGTGCATACACGCTATTAATCAGTAAAGTTAATTTTCTTATAACCTAAAATTAGACCTGCCACCTCCACAGGCTTTCTAAGATGTGCTGGGAGAAGGGGACTTTGCCATCAGCAAGTAGGCTAGTTGTAGCCAACAACTCAATGAATAATGATGTGCATAATCGCTCTGTGGTGGAATCACGCTCCTGCCCTGCATCCCAGAGCCCGTACCCTCCCTCCACCTTCTCACTCCTGTGGCTCTAGCAGAATGTGTACCCGAGCATGGAGGTGGGGTTCACCCTGCAAGTTAGCACTTGGGTGCTTGGCAGGCGGCAGCTTCGAACACCCATGCCCGAACCAACAGCAGGCAGCACGGCCCACCACCCCAATGGCGGCCCCAGAGTCACCAAGCCGAGCTCAAGGCAAGCATTGCATCAGGGAAATGGAAGAAGGAAGAAGAGACCATTCAAAGGGAGCGGAGAAGAAAAAGCTTTCGGTGAAGCCAGAGCTCGGGCCCTCTTCCCGCTGGCATTCATCATCAGAGGAGTCTTCGGAGAGAAAGACTGCATAGTGTCGCAAAGGCTTTACCAGGCTAGGATAGAGGAGACAAAAGAAAGAGAAAAGTTAGGGGATGCCATGAGGACTCCACGGTGCGGTGAGGAGGAGGGTTAGCAAGGCCAGGCCTGGTCCATGCCCCCATCCTGGGCTAGGACTGCTCTAGGGTTCAGAGCACATCCTGACCAGCCAGGCAGTCAGGCTCTCCAGAGGAAGGCTGGGGAGACCTGCTGAACCCCAAGATGGAGGAACTGTTCGCAGACAGAACAAAAGAAACTGCAATTGTCAAATAGGTCAAGAGCCTTAAACGCATGATCTATTCATCCTAACCTAGTAATTCTACTTTCATTTAGATCATCTAAATGGGAGCTCTGGTGGTCTATTGGTAAGCTATCCACTGCACTCTGGGTCACCTGGTTCAAACCCATCAGCTGCTCCTCAGGAGAAAGATGGGAAATTTCCTCCTGAGTGATTTACTGCCTCTGAAAACCTGCTAGAGGGTCAGCTATGGGTTGGTTTCGACTTGACGGTACACAATGACAACAAACATAGCAAAGGTGTTTGGTGGTCTTGCAGTCAGAAGCTGGGCTGCAATCCCAAAGGCACTCAGTTCAAATCTACCAGCTGCTCCACAGGAAAAAGATGAGCAATCTCCTCCCATGTGACTTGTTGCCTCTGGAATCATGCTGGAGGGTCAACTCTGGGTTGGTTCTGACCCTTCAGCAAAGGTAGCAAAATTTATGGACAAAGATGTTCACTCCTGCTCTGTTTATAATGTTACATGACAGAACACAACCCAAATTTGTGCCAATAGGGATCCAGTGGCTTGATTCTGGTACCGCTGGATGACTTTCATGCTCCAGTTAAGTATAAAGCTTATAAAGAACAATTTCAAGACTCAATACAGAATTTTAGTTAGCTTTCTCATCCGTTTACTAATAAAAACACACCTAGAAATGAAGACTGGAAAGATGTGTCTAAATATCAAAGACAGTCAGTGGGGTTCTGGGTGATTTTCGTCTTGTCTTCACAATGAGAATTATCAATTTTGGTAATCAGGGAAAAATAAAAAAGTAAAGAAGTTCAAGAAAAAAGTGAGCCACGTGGAAAGAGCACTTGCGAGAAGGCCCTTTTCTGATTAGCAGCTGCTCTCTGGAGTCTCCCTCAGATGCCTCTTCAGAGAGTCTTTTTCATCTGTGATGTGGAAATTAAATATTCATTGTTATAAAAAATATATCTCCCTTGTCAGCCACCTGTGAGCACTACCTCTATAAACACAAACACATACACAGCCCAGAGAAACACGCTGCCTGGCTCCCATGAATTATACACTGGCTGGGGCCTGCGAGAGGCTGTGTGCTCAGGAGATTAACTGGATGGGGCAGACCTGGGTTCAAATCCCAGATCCGAGGCGGCCTCGCCAGGCCTGTGTCTGGTGGAAGAGGAAGCCATCCCACAGCTCCTATACAGAGTCCTCATCCATGGGTGGGATGTTTGCAGAGTGTGGGACAGGAGACGTAAGAGGTGAATCATCATCCCCATTTCTTCTCACCCCAAGAAGTATGCTTTCTTTGCTTTAGATGATGGGATTCCTTTAAGATTTTATTTCAGGAAATATTAATGTGTGGAAAATAGCACATGAAAGTAAAGGGCAGCAACTGTTGCTGGTAAATCGTGAGAGTGGATCTGTACTGGGCTTTGCTGTTATCCAGTGTCACTGGGGCAGTTTCAGTTGTTACCCAAGACTGTGCTCTTTGAGAAGCAGACAGACCAGATGTTGGATCTGAGTGCTGTGCCTTCATTTCCTCACGTCACTGGATGTCAGGGAGGAGTCTGCTGGTTCTGAAGTGGAGGCTGTGGCCAGCAAAGGGAAGCCACTTGGTGAGGGTCTTCTACTGGAAAGTTGTGGAGATGCAGTGTTCTGTCCTCCCAGCTTCCTTGCTGGGTGTTGGAGAGGAGAGCAGACACACGTCAGCTTTTCTCGGACCAGGAGGAGCACTGAGAGGGCAGGAAGACCAGACTGAGAGCCACACCCTGGTCAGCTTCTGGGTAAGGCAGCCAGCTCCCTCCCCTTTCATGAGTCCGGATAGAAACTACTGGGGCAGGAAGGCCAGTGGGTCACCCTCCACGCAGCCACCAGAGGTCAGTTTGGAACCACACATCTGACTCCATCACACTCCTGTTTGAAACCTGCAAAGCTGCTGGTCTGAACCCTGATCTCACTGTGATCAGTTACGGGGTGAGTAAATCCACCGTATAAAGTGTAAAAATTTAATAATGGTCAGATGTTCAAATATTCACTTACCCGATTAAGTTAGCGAAAGCCACTCTTGTTCACATTCCCACAGACTACTCTCCTGAGCAGGATGGGCACCCCGGCCTCATGCTCAGCTCTGTGGGACTTCTGGTCGATAGGTGAGGCTGCTGAGCTGCAGTCAAGGCCAAGCTCCAAGCAGGGCAGACTCCAGGCTGCCTGCCTGAACTGCCACCTCTCCAGCCTTGTTTGCCCAACCCTACCTATAGCCATGCTACCACCCCAGAGGACATGTGGCCCTGTAACCTCCCACCCTCCTTGGTGAATTAACTGCTCTACAGGTTTTTTAAGATTTAGCTCAGATGTCACTTCTTCTGCGAAGCCCTCCTGGAATGCTCAGCCCAAGTCTCCCCAAGTAGAGTCAACCCTTACCCATGCCACATATCTTATCACTTCTTATTTTCTATAGAATTCTTTGAGTTGAGCTCCTCAAGAGCAGAAGCTTGGCTTGCTCTCTGTCACCTGGATCTCAGCATCAGCATAATGGATGTTTGCTGACTGAACAAATGAAAGGAGGCATGCTGGAAAGGTCTCCTAGGGGACACAGGTCATATATAAACCTACTTTGCTCTTTCCTGGGGCCCTGCTCATCAAGGATCTCCTGTCATCAGCTGTGGCTTCAGAAGAAAAAGATATGCATTTCATATCCTTTGAGATATGTAAGGTGAAACAATGCTTGGGGACAAAGGTGTCCTGTATACAGGGGACAGAGGAACCACAGAAAAATGTTTAGCATAATATCTGCAAATTGAGAGTAGGCCAAGGAGCCACGGTAGCATAACAGTTAGGTGGCTGGCTGCTAATGGAAAGGTCGGTAGTTTGATTCCATGGGAGAAGGACCTGGTGATCTATTCCCCTAAAGATTACAGTCAAGAGAATGATGGGGTTGTTCTGAGCCAGAACTGACTCAGTGATGCCAAAGACAGCAGCAGCAGCAGGAACTGGGCCAGAGGTTTGACCTCTGTTCCTTCTACCCACAACTGACCAGCAGGAAGGTATTTCTACATTGATTTTATAGAGGATGAATCTTCTTTAATCAATCCACTCATCCACCTATGGGATACTTTCCAAGTACCTGTTGTGAGCAGGCCCATGACACTGGTGAACAGGAGTGAAGTGATGAAGGGACACAGCCAGGATGTGACGTGCAGGGATGCCGTGCCAGGGTTAACCACCAATAGGGCCTGCACTCTTCCATAAGCCAGACTGACGGTGTGGGTATCCAAGAGGGGCTGCTTCTCCTGCTTGGAGACTGAATGAGGCTGTGTGGACCTCGAACACATCTTAAGTACCACCCTCCTGTGACCCACCAAGCTGGAGAAGCACACAGTGTAGCCGGGGCTGAGGGCTTTAGCTGAGTCCACTAAACCTGCAGGGATTTCTGGCTTAACATAAGAGCACAGAGCTGGACTGGGCCCTGGAGTTGACAGTTCAGGCTGCCACAGCTCGCATCACTATTAATGTCCTGCCTCCCCGTACCGAAGTGGCTATGGAGTGGGCAGGGGAATGAAGACAGGGAGGAGGAGCCTTTATTTCTATCTCATAAACCACCTCCCCCTCGAGCCTGGTCATGCACGTCACAGACCTAGGGTGTCTCCTAAACATCTGACCTGACTTTGGAGAGTGACAGGGTACCCAGGAGAGAGGTCTACCCTGGAATTAGGCCAGATCTGAATGTTTTAGCCACATGGGTGATGATGGTGATCCAAGCTGTACTTGTTGTTAAGTACTATCAAGTCAGAAACGACTCACAGCTGCCCCTCCAGCAGGTTTTCACAGGTAATAAACTACATGGGAGGTGAAATGCCCATCTTTCCCTCACAGAGCAGCTGGTAGATTCAAATCATGTTCCTTTGGACTGGTAGCACCACTCCTTACCACCAAGCCACAGAGATACCAGTAAACTCATGTTTTTGTTACTGTTGTTAAGTGCTGTCAAGTCGACTCACCCTGTCCTATCCTGCGCCAACCTTATCATCTCTGACATACTTGAGGCCATTGCTGCAGACACAGGACCAATCCTTGAGTCCACAACTACCTGATCACAGCAGTACTCACAGGTTGAACTAAATGCTGTCCACACAGCTTCTCATTAATCCCTCACATTTCCCGTTTGCAGAGGAAGCAGCCTAGGCTCAGAGAGTGGGAGTCACTTGTTCAGGGCCACACAGCAGCCAAAGCAGAGCCTGAGATGGTGCCTGGATTTGCCTGACTCTAAGCCACGACTTGATCCTGCCTCCTTCATTTCATGGTTCTGAGACAATGAAATGAGGTAGGGTGCTTCCTCTCTCTACTTTTAACAAAAGATGAGCTTTCAAAATAGACTCACTGAGATTCGAAGGCTCCTATGAAACATACAGTCAGGTATTTGTCAAAGATAAAAGATAAACTATTAGGAATGTCCAGGTTTAAATTTTTTATTAGCTTGAGGCAGAAAAAAAAATATCTATATAGATAAAGCTATATAAAGTATACCTCTTCCCTCATTAACCCAATTCAGCTACTACCCTGCAGTCTGCCACCCACTACTTGCCCGGATTTGATTATACACAAAGAGCTGTCTGTGAAAAGGCAGGTTGTGGCGAACCTGGCTACCCAGTGAGGACCGCCGGAGTCTTGGTGAGAAAGTGGCCCTGCTGTCCATCACTGCCCAGAACCCCATCATCTCCCTACGGCGGCTCCCGCCTCTGCCCACCTCATCCCCGCTCGGAGCTACCATGCAG